GGACAGCTGGGCTGGGGGGGACAGGCGGGAAAGGGGGTGATCGGGGGACAGGTGGGAAAGGGGGCGTTCGGGGGGGATAGCTGGGCCGGGGGGCAGGCGGAGGGGGACAGCTGGGCCGGGGGGATTAACTGGGGAGCTGTCAGCCGCTGGGCTGTCCCTGGGAGCCCGTCCCCCCGTCACAGGCTGCCCCCCCCCCCCCTCCGCCCCAGATCGGTAGCCGGCTGCCGAGCGCCCAGAACCCCCCCGCCCTGGTGGCGCTGCGCGTGGATTTCCTGCGCATCGTCTGCAGCCACGAGCACTACGTCAGCCTGAACCTGCCCTGGCACAGCCTCTCGCCGCCCGCCTCGCCCTCGCCCTCCGTGTCCTCCGCCACCTCCCAGGTACGCCCGGGACCCGGCCCCTGCAGGCTGCCTGCCTGGGGCAAGAGGGGATCCCCGGGGGGCCAGGCCTGTCCCAGCAGGGGTCGCCGTCCCACGACCAAAGCCCCCGGGCAACCGTGATACGGGGGGCTCTGTCTCTGGGGGGGGCTGGGCCCTGGGGCGCCAGGGGGTGCCAGTCTTGGGGGTCCCACACCGAGCTCTGGCACCCCCGACCCGGCCATCACAGCTTGGGGGAGAGCCCCTGGCCGGTGGGCGGGACGGGGGGGGAGCCCAGGCATGGGGCAGTTGCAGCTGCTGGCTGGGCGGTTCCTGTTCCCGCGCCCCCATGGCTCTTCTCACCCCCGCTCGCTCCCGCAGGGCTCGGCCTTCTCCAGCCCGGCGCAGGACCAGCGGGTGGCCGGCATGTTCGAGCTGTCGGGGCCCTACCGCCGGCAACACTTCCTGGCGGGGCTGGTGCTCACGGAGCTGGCGCTCATCCTGGAGCCGGATGCCGAAGGGTGAGCGGGGTCCCCCCTGGGGTCCAGCCCAGAGCTCACCAGAGCTTCCCGTGCGTAGGGCCAAGACTCCTGGGTTCTACCCTGGCTCTGGGAGGGGAGTGGGGTGCAGTGGTTAGAGCAGGGGGCTGGGA